TTGTCGCGGGATCTAGGTGGTACGTAACCGCTGTGACTCCATAATCCCAACTTCTGTTTAAATTTAAAATTGCAATAATAAGATATAAATAACCTTTTTTTGTTTTGTTTGTTTTACATCGTCTGTGGTATGCATACCGCGCATACGCTTGTTAAAAACCCAACTGAATTAATTTTGTTTTACGATCAGACGTCAATATTGTAAGTCAGTTTTAGTATGATAAATTAACTTTAGTTGAACGTTTTTCGTCGGTTTATGTGTAACAATGTGTGTCTTGATTTCTTTCAAAAGAATTGCACTAATCGGCGATAGCAAGTCATTTACCTTCGTGTTATACGTTTATGTTTTAATCGTTTCTCCGTGTGTTTTCAGTGCTTTGAAATATTGAATAAACATACATATCAATCATGTCAGAGAGCGTAGAATTTCAAATCGAAGATCAGGAATTCCAATTGAAACCTGACCATGAACTTAGGTTTGAAGTTGAAAACAAGAATGAAACAGTTGTGTTAGAAGTAAGTACCTATCTCCAATAGTCCTGCATATAAAATATGTTACTCATTAAATTGGTAGGTACATCAAGTCAGTTACATCTGATACAACATTTAAATGTGAAGGTAGGTAGTACCTAGGTAATGTAAATACAATTGGACGACAACAAGTACACACCTCTATATATTTTTAATTTACAATTATGATATCTTCCATATTATTATGTCAGTATAGTAGTATGGTATATTATTATAATAATAATAGAATTAAAGGATTAATAATACCTAGTTGAAATAGTTTTCAAATAATCTCGGTATTGTTAATTAAGAATAGGTAATTAATAAATACACTTATAATTTTTTTTAATAATTAGGTAGGTACATTTGAAAAGAATAAATATGAACTTATGCAATTATAATTGTTTAAAATGTATTTACAGTTGTATTTATTTCACGAAAAAAAAAATAAATACTGTTTAGAATCAAGTGATTTCTATTTTTAAACGAAGAGTGAGGGTCCTGAATGACTTATGTAAACATAAACATACCTACTTAACGTGTAATAAAATATGTAAAGTCACTTAGGTATATTCTGTTAAAGGCTATAGACTAATAACCTATAAATATAATAATATTATGTAATATATTTATGGTGATTTTTTTATTTTTTTTAGTTGAAAACTGGGCTGGCAGAAATTTTTGGGACAGAATTAGTAAAAAGTAAACCATATAAGTTTTATTTTGGAGCAAAAATTGCGGTGTTTACATGGCAAGGGTGTTCATTAAGATTACTAGGGAAAAAAGGAATTAGTTATATATCCAAAGAGACCCCAATGGTAAGAATAATTAAATTTTGAAATTAATTTACTTAATGGAGATTACTTATTTCTTCTATTTATTACTAATTTTAACTATATTGTGATGTTTATGCATAGCCTATCAATTGTTTTTAAAATATTAAAATCACATTCATTAATGTATATTTTTCTTCAAATTTACTAAATAGTTTAATTGCAATTAATTTAATTTATCTATTGGTAAGTCTTTTTATCAAAATGGATATATTTCTGTTTAATATTCAATTTTAAGGGAATGTTGCAGACTATTTGTTTTCCATCTGACTTATGTAAACATACCAAATTTGCATATAGTAGAACCCATCTTGTAAAGTTAGCTTAAATATTAAAGTAAATTAACATTATTTCAAAACATAAAGTTTAGAACATTATCTGTGGTTGTTTGTTTGATTTTTTAAGGTATTTAAATTTTGATAAATTAGTATACTCAGAAAAGTTAAAATATTTAAAAAGCCAATACCCAAAAGAAATATTTTTTTTTTAAACTTAAATTAACTCTAATATTAAAGCTAACAACACAAGATTTGTTGTACTGAACGTACATTTCTATATTGCATCTAGATCGGACAGAGTAAACAAATACAATGTATCTTTCAAATATGTATTTTTAATTTTTAATTCTTCGATATTAAAAAAACTCATTCAAGTTTTTTAGTGTTCACAGATTAGATAATATAAAAACATAATTGTAAAATAAAATAAAAAAACAATTTTTGAATTAATTCTTGTATTTTAAACGCTTAACTAAACATCTAAAATAATGCAAAATATTTATAAACTTGTATGTAATAACACCTGATAAATCAATTTATTAGCTTCAGTTATTGCTTAATATCTATTGAGAGTAAAAAATAGCTCATATATTTTAATACTAATCAGCTGAAGGAACACAAATTAACTGAAAAATAAATAAATTTGGTAGAGTTCAATACAATTATTAATAACTAATTATTTTTATAGTTATGAATGTCTGAATTATTATCTATTGGTTATTGTGTACATATTTTAACCGTGTTTAATCTTTTAGATGTCTTATTTAAATTGCCATGCGTCATTAGAACAACTGCGAACAAAATCAGAAGAAGAAAAGGTAAGAGGTCCAATTACAATGGTGGTCAGACCGACTGATGTGGGTAAATCTACTCTTTGTAGAATACTACTAAACTATAGTACAAGAATGAATGATCTTGGTCGTAGACCCATCTATGTCGACCTTAGCCCGGGTCAGGGACAAATATCAGTTCCAGGAACAATTGGTTTGTATGGATTTTAAATTAATCATAAGACAATAGTCCTAACGAGAATAATAATTTGTAGGAGCAGTCATGGTAGAAAGGCCAGCTGAAGTAGATGCAAGTTTCTCTCAAGCAGCTCCACTAGTCTATCATTTTGGACATACAAAAATTGGTATTAATTCAACTTTGTACAACACTTTAATATCTCGTATGGCAGAAGTTATTCATCAACAAATGGATGAAAATCCTAGAAGTAATTTTTATCTATTATATATTATTTGAACTTAATTTATATCATTACATCTATTATACAGATGGCTAGACAACAAAATAGGCTAAGTGACATAGCATATATTACTGGGTAGTAGGAGATTATTTCTATCTATTGGTGAATATTTTACTATTTTCTGATAATAATTTTAAGTGATATTGAATTTCATAGTTTAGGATTTATGTGAGACTTTTGTGTAAAAAGAAATGATTTGACTCTTCTTGAATACCTTTAAAAACATTTAGCCCCATTTGTCGTGTAGCCATCGATATAATTGGATAAAATATTTAAAAAAACATTAGGTCAGTATGAAATTAATTGAGTTTTAGTTTAATTATAATAATTTGTTCAGTATTACTTCCAATATTTTGTAAATATTTAATGAGTAAAACTTACTGTTTTACTGTTTTAAAAGGATAATAATAATAATTAATAAGTATTATGAAGAACACATAAAGTTTGACTTATTCACAATTGTTATGGTTTATAAATTTAAAAATCAATTACTCTGGTTTACTGTTTATTGATTTTCTGTAAAGTTTAATGTATATTCACTATTTCAATGATGTTGGATATTTTATTTAAATACAATTAACAACTCATTACTGTGACTATATAAACACAGACAACTAAAATTATAAAGCTGACTCATTCGGTATATTACATAACTAAATAATAATTGATTATTTGATTATATTGTTCCATGTTAGCAAAAATCAAATACTCTAGTATTTGTAATTATTATTGTTGTCTTACAGTTTAAAAATTATTAATTATTTGTTTATTATAGATTAAAATATTAAATAGCAATTACTACCTAATTTTAGTCCAACAATTTTTTTTAATTATAAATGATTTTTTCCTACATTGTATACTTTTATGGTAATTAGTGTTAGAATATATATATGCTAATTTGTTATATTGTATTATGTTTTAATTGCTATGATTAATTTTGTATTAATTTTATTTTTACAGTTAACTATTCTGGATTAATAATTAACACGTTCGGTTGGATAAAAGGTAAAGGTTACCAGCATTTGACTCACATTGCACTCGCTTTTGAAGTTGATGTTATTCTTGTACTTGATGAAGAACGATTATATAATGAACTAGTGAGAGATATGCCAGGATTTGTCAAAGTGGTTCTTTTACCAAAACGTAGAGGAGTAAGTATCACCAATAAGATTATTCTTATTATTCTCTTTAGGAACTTATCGATTAATGTGGCTACCATTATAATAGGCTTCAAAAAAAAATAATATTAATAGCTCTGCCTAATAAAACTTAATGTGTTAACCCTAGGTCAGCAAACCAATTCCCTTCAACACATATAATATATAGGGTTTTTTTTTTTTTAATATTTTACATTACATTTCTAAAATATCTGTTTACTATGAAAGATTTGAATTTGTGACCCACTTAGTCATTTCTTCCATAAAATACTATGGTCAATAGTCAATACTCATTGGAAAATTCAGTAAATTTAATTTTTATGGTACCCCCCCCCCAATATTTTTGAGATAAAAATGCACGTTTGTTGGCAGTTGTAGATCGTCTTTATATGCGTTAAGCTTTATTAGGGAGACCTAAATATACTATTTGTCTTGTAGACTTCAAAATTGTCTGAAAATAATAAAATGCAGTGTTAAACCTTGGTTTAATTTGATTTAACTTCTATTGGCTATGTATTAAAAAATTAGCCGTATTATATAATAATTAATATGTACACAGTTAAAAAAAAAACATTTTTTTATATAGTAAAATTAAATTATGATGTATTATTATAAATTTGATTTGTTTAATAATTAGGTAGTTCAAAGGAGTAATAAGTTTAAATTGGAAGGTAGAGAAGCACGTATTCGAGAATTCTTTTATGGTAGTCCTAGGAATGTACTTCATCCACACACCTGCTTAGTAAGGTTTTCCGACATAAAAGTATATAGAATTTTAGCTCCACCCATTCCGAATGCATTGATGCCATTAGATACACAAAAAACTGATTTTAAGCCAAAACTTTAAGGTGTTACACCAGGTAAAAATAAAAAACATTTTAATTTAGTGCGTTGCATATAATATTATTTAATAAAAATACTTTTCCATTGAGATTATTTTTAAAAATATTTTGACAATTTTTACAGGGCTAAATATGATGCATCACGTGTTAGCTCTGAGTTTCAGTACAACAGTAGAAGAAGACGTTGTGAGGAATAGTGTTGCTGGTTTTGTCTGTGTGTAAGTGTTGTTGAGTATCATTCAATTTAATATAAAAACATTTTGATGCACAACTATTTTAATACATTTTTTTTTTATTTCTCTAGAACAAATGTTGACACCTCACAACAAATGTTAACTCTGTTGTCCCCTCAACCAAAACCTCTGCCTGAAACAATTTACCTCATGTCAGATGTACAGTTCATTGACAACAATGCTTGAAGTCGTTTGTTTGAAAAAAGCCAGAAAAAATATTTTGTGTGTTAAATATAGATACTGTTAATAATTATTTTTTTTAGTGCATAATATATTTTTCTTTGGCTTTAAGAGTAATTTATAAATCCCAGCGTGAAGTATCAATGTAATGTACATATTTATATTAGGTGTAAATATGTAATTTGTTTGCTGACGTTATACATTTCATTAGTATTAAAATGATTTATCACTTATAAGTAATATTACGAATAACTGCACTAGTCATTAGTGTCATTACATATTTATTTGATATAAAGTTCAATACAATAAATTGTCAATTTTGTAATTTATTATTTATGACTTAAATATAAAAAAAAAATATTGTATATTTAAATGGATATTACATTTTTTAAGACATTAATATATTTAGATGGGTATATGTTACTCTCTCAAAAATACTTAAGGTAGAAACTAGAAATACTATAGATAGTGCAATAACAAGGAATGATATAGTATTATAATATACATATCGTATTTATAACAAAATAGTTATTATTTAAAAATAATTTAAAGTTGCACAATCAGTAATCACTAGGTTTATGTATAAAATACTAAAATGTATTAACTAGGTGATAATTAAAAATGATATCCCCTTTGGAATTTGGATATCTACACTTCGTATTTTTCATTTTATTAACTTAAGTAAACTATATTAAAGCTATTTTAATATTGTCTCATTACGTAATATTACCACTAGGCACTAGTTCAAAAAATATTGTGTTTTAAAGCTATTATATTTTGTACGTAATAAAAATGTATAAGGAGAACAACAAGGTTCCACACTTGCAGGATAGGATTTTGATTGGAAAACGTATTTGATAACAGAAATTTGTCAGTAGATAATTAATTTTAGTTTCTGAGCGGAGCGATGAATGTATTGATTTTACAATGATGTGTGATTTTTATTTATTTTTTTATTTTTGTGTCTGTCATCACCGTTTAGGGCAGTAAAACTGCTTCAATATTCTTCGAAAATATCTTGCGATGGGAAAGTGAATCTAGTTGGTGCATTCGGGAGGTCAACATTTAAAATTCCTAATATTACCAGTATGTTGCCTATGTGTTCGCAGATGTGTTCACCGTCTATCGTCATAGTAACTAATTTACTATTTAATTAATTACATTTTTGATTTTAAACGAACTCGGTTTAAAAAAGAACATATTTTGTTTGGTGTTTCTTAATATTCGTGTACGTTATAGTCCTATTTATGTAAGTCAAATATTTTATATTTATAATTTATTAGAGTTCATCAAAATAAATCATTAGTAGTGGACTTTTATATTTTTTATAAATATTATGAAAATTACACAATTCGTAATGTTATACAGGTATTTAATTAATTTCATCGGTTCTATACAAAAAACTTGCTAATGTAAATAACAGATCAATAAAAAAAATGAATTGACAGGAAAAAACTAATATAATAAACAAAAAACCGACCGCGACCCTTTATCTGGTTTATTGGGCGTTTTGTATAGGCAATATAAGTACATTTCGGATGTTATGGCTTGACGATGTTATTGTACTGGTATGTCAAATTGTATGCGACTTAAATATTTATGTTTTAAACAGGTTGTTTCTCAACACAAAACCAATTTTTAAAGTCGTTAATGAATTCAATATTTGAAGTTTGAATGTTAAAACGCTGGTTCTGTATCACTCACACACTGTGTCAGCCTGCCAGCCTGGCACACCAAAGGCCCATAGATCAGTTTTTTAAGGGGCCCTATAATGAAATACAAAATTTACTTGACATATTGGTGAGGAAATGCTCACCAAATTTTTTCCTTTAAAAATACATTTATTCAAATTCTTGATATTTTTTGTACTACTATTAAAGAGTGTCCTGTGGCTATACAAACTTCTATTTTTCAAATGAGAATTTCCTTTTTTTCTACAAATTATTTAGCAGATAAATGTAGATGTACCTAAATCAAAGTTCTAATAAGTAGTTGCTGAATTATAAAAATGTGTATACTAAGGATAATAATACTTAAAAGTTAAAATATAGTTTACAATAAAAAAGTATAAGTAGGTACCTATTATAGATACCTACCTATTCATTATTATCAGTATACCTACTTAATAATTTTTACAAATTATTTATCGTGATAGGTCAATGGTAATTACTAATTAGTACTAACAACTAACAACTAACTACTAACATATTCAAATCATCTAAGCCCCCAAATCTACTTAGCTAATTTCCATATACATATTATCCTTAGCACACAAAGTTATACCTATAACTCAAAAATTACTATTTCAAATTTTGATTTAGATGCATCAGAGTTCTCAAAAAAAATATCTGCTGATGATCAGTCAGCCTATGATATTACGAAGTAAGTATATTAGATGATATTAAGGTGAATAAAGTAATTTATATATAACCTATTTACGTGGAATCTTGTTTTAAATTTTCAATCCTTAGCTATAAAAGTTTAACGTTTTATAAATTTTTAACTACAAAATTATTATTATTTTATATCTTTAGGTTAAAGGTTATACCCATACGTATGATTAATCTACTACCCTATTATATCTCATATCTTATAATAATGTATATACATAAACGTATTACGAAATATTATAATTTATTTACCTGAGTATGTAGTCGTATTCGTGGATATGGGGTTGAGTTCGATGCTCGAAGTCACTGAGGTATATATATGGTATATATGTATATGTATATTACGTGTCTTGATTTGTATATTTAATACTCAGTATATTAAGAGATATTTTTTGGTTAGTTCTATGTATAATATTGATGTGATTCGAACACTAATATTATATGAATTTATTGAATTTATTATCTATGATTTGGGAAGTGACTATATGCTCTTAGAAATTCCTACATCCGCAGCAATCGTACATAGTCGACTGGCTAACCGAATGTAATTTAAGTTGAATGAGCACTTAAAATTACGCTTATGTTCTAAATAAATAAATATGATTAAGATCTAAGAATGTTTAAATTAAAGTAGGTAATACATATATAAAATTATGCTTATATTCTAAATAAATAAATGTGATTAATGATTATGATGTAAGTTATGCTCTTAAAAATTCCTACATCCGCAGAAATCGTACATAGTCGACTGGTTAGCCGAATGTAATTGAAGTTAGATGAGCACTTAAGATTACGTTTATGTTCTAAATAAATGAGTATGATTAAGATTTAAAAATAATTAAATAATATTAATACGTGTCTAAAATTATAACTACTGTATTATACGACGATAGTCACAAAGCCTCGTATTTTAAGGGGTAAATAAATGAATAAATTTAAAAAAACAAGGTGAATTTGTCGAGTAATAAGGGATAATTAATAATTGGATGGTCATACCGAATGCTGGAATAACTCAATGCACATACACATATAATCGCACCCGCTTTGAATGGCAAAAATATTGTCGAAGTGCATACTGCAGGCGTGGACATTGTGCATCGGGTCGTCTTGTGGAAAGAACTGGAGGCGAGTCGATCCCGTGGGGTCATTATATAATATGATTTTGTTGTAATCCCTTCTTCTTTCACTTATTGATGTGTTTATGATTTTGTCTTCAGCGGTATGATAAAGGTGCCGCTGGTAATTAATTGTGTGTTATTATGTTCCAACATCTTGATCCGGAAAATTGTCGACGGGGTCTTTGAAGTACAATGCGGTGTCGTCTGGCGCTGTTGGTAATTGTTGATTTTGTTTTTACTGAGCGTCTGGTCGGAGGGGTGTTGAACATTATTTATGTTTTGCATTTGTCGTGTGTGTGCATGAGGGTGGGTAAATATGTATATGTAGTATGTACACTGGGTCACCCCACACTCCATACGGACCGTCGCTATTAGTTATTCTGTGTTTTTATTTAAGTATAGCAATATAATATATTACAAAATGTTTTCTTGTTTTTTTTGTTTAGAATTATTTTTTGTAGTTATAATATCATTAGAATAAATGAATCAGTCAAAATAAATAAAAATATAATAAAAAAAAAAAAATGTTGGTAAGTTTCAAAATGGACCTCCGTCGAAATCAGATGGTGACCCCTTTTCTAGTGGAACAAATTTTAAACCTAATTTGAATTTGGAGATAATTACTTAACTGGACTATTTGAGATAGACTTTTTCACACTTTTAATTTTATCCCCGTTAATCCAAAAAAAGTAGTAATTTTCATACAGCTTCATTACATAAATTTAAATAAACACGTCTGATTTAATATTATAATTCTTGAAGGTTTTGAAAAAGACAGATAATCTGTCACTGGTTTGACATTTAAATCTCCATAACTATTGTCATAACTCATAATCATCTGTATTTATCTTCCTAGATTATTTGTGCATCTAAGGTTGAGTAATTAATGCATTGTTTACTTTATTATTATTTATTTATATCACATATTTTAATATGAAAAACAGTTTCATTTTGTCATTACGTACAGTAACTACTGTCTACTAATATTTTAAATCATATATTTATTATTTATATATTTTTAAACTAAATTTACTGACCATATTTCATTTGATTCACTATACATTTCTTTGTATGTCTACTAATAATAAATCCAATATTTATGTCATTTAATTTAAACTAAAAAATGTTTTAATTTCTCTTTATAAGCATCTCATTTGTGTATTTAACCTTATCATTTTTATTTTAGGTTATCATTATTTCTTAAAATAGTATTTGCTATAGTATATAATATTATAATACACAATTTTAAAAGCAAAGCAAAGCACTGAACTAATTTAATATATTGTGTTACACATGATTACATTTAACATAAATAATAAATATGTTAAAATAACAAAAAAACCAATACATATACATAATTATCAAATTAACTATTATAATATTAATTTCTGATATACATTTTTTTTTAAAGTTAAATGCGAATGCAAAGAAGAAATAAACTCAACTATAATACCGAAATAAATATCGAAAAAAGGATGGTTTTGTTTTTGAAGGATCA